TTTTTTTTCTCAAAAACCATAAACGCTAGGAAAATCAAATGTTTATGTTTAACTCATAATAGGGCACGTTTTGACCCTATTTGTACTTTCAACCTACTCTTCTAAGTTACTAAACATAACCACCCCCGTTCAATTTTTGTCTAGATTTTTCTTATGACGGTGATAAATACATTGGAAATATTTTATTTAGATAGATGAAAATATATGAGTTAAACATATTCCCCAAATTTCATTTTCCTAGCGTTTATGGTTTTTGAGAAAAAAAAATTAAACCAAAATTTTCCGCCATTTTTGGAGGGGTGTAGCTCCTTAGGGGAGCCGAAGTCGCCCATGGTTCATATATCAAAGTACCCTTAAAATTCACTAAAGAATCACCCCTTGAAGTTTGTTGCAGTCATTCAGATACACCCTGTATATGTTTGGATTTTATTATAATGGAACAAGCGTAGAGCCCAAAAACATAAACATGTAATAAATAGTAAAGTATAAACAGTGTAACAACAAGTTAACATTTATCGTTGTATCATATTTTGAATCAAAGATAAAATTATAGCGACAGGTGAACAAATTTTTGGTTTAAAGCCATAAATGACATTGTATGCACGAGCAGACAATTGCAGACTCATTTTGTCATAAACTAAAATTCTACAGTTCAGAGATATAAGTTAAATATAGGTTACTACAGGTTAAAGTCTTTGTGATTGAAATAGACGATAAGATTGTTGATATCGACTTTTGCCTTCTTTGCAGTTATCAAAAGTCGATAACAACAAACCCTGTTGATATATGAACCATATATTTCCAGCAATTCTTAAGATGTTACTATCAAGCCTACTAGATTTTACTAGGCTATACAAAAAAGCAATGATCAGTCGATATGAGTGGTTTGTAGCAAATTTGCGTAGCCTTCACAGCAGTGCCAATTGGTAAAATGGGTAAAATAATACAACAACGTTTGGTGATACCACTAAATGGTAGGTTCTAATATATACACAAAGATCTTTTCCAAGTGGTAAATCTGCGGAAAGTGACGAGATAGCCTGTTGGCAACAACAATTAAACTTGTATACAGGGGAGAAATAAACTTTTTCCGTGAATTCGTGAATCCGCTATTGGACATCGTTAAACAGTTCCCGTGCGGTTATTATAAACATTACGGAAAAATTTTATTAGAAAGATCGCTTCAGAATAATGTATCCTACAACCGTATAATGCTCTCATGCGAAAGATACGGGACACAATGTATACAACCAGGTTATATTTACAAGGCAGGGACAAATCAGCAGCGTAAAAGCGTTTATGGAAAACAGCTGGCATGAGTGTATATTAAGTGCAACTTTTCTATCTAAGACATAAGAACAGGTTAGGTGTCAGTGTAATCAAGACAAAAATTATGAATCATGCACATGAATAATATTTTCTGCAGTAAATACGAATTTCATCTCTAAAAAGTATTATACTTTTCATTTCTCTCTAATAGATTGATCATACCCAATTGGTCCAAACGTGATTGCCTCAGGATTTACCTGGAATTGCGGAACTAAAAATGTAACTCCAATTTAATTGACGAACTTGTAGTGATTAATAAGTATTGATAACACAGTAGAACTCCGATTATCCGTACTCCACGGGACCGGAAGGGTCACGGATAATTGAAAAGCACGGATAGTCCAAACATTTTTATTTTTTGCATAATAAAGCACAGAATAAAAACAGAACTTAACTAAGATAACTTAGACATATTTATGTATTCTACGTAACTTATTCTTTCAAAAAAAGTCTGTTATTTTGGTATGAGTTGCACATTGCATTGCACATTTCGCAGCTTCCTCAGCCTCACGGTTCGTTACTCGCTTGACTAATATCATGTTATCAATTTCTCCGTCTCCACTCTCATTTTTGGATGAATAAGGCTGCGTTGTACTAGGTTGACTCAAAACTTCTTCAACTATATCGTCATTGTGATTTAGTTGTTTTTTCCTCACCAGATGCTAAGACAATGCTTTCATCTTTCTTCAGTGTCATTATATTTATTGTAAAAAGCTTTTTAATAGTCGTATCTTTCACTCCACTCCAAGTATTTGCCACTGTGAAAATTGCATCTTTGATCGCAAAGGATTTTCAAAATTTCATCAGGTTAACTTCATCCAGCAAATTCATCGTTAATTTTTGTCGGTAAATGCGTTTCATTATCTCAATGACACCCTGATCCATTGGTTGTGCAATTGATGTAACATTATCATTTTGACTCCTATCACAGTCCGTTTGAGTTTATAGGCACCAGACGCGTTGGCACAACACATCACTGGTATACGGTTTTACATCCTTGTGCACTTGCCTCATTGCTTGCAGCCAACGTTTTAGTAAGCATTGCCCGTCAGTATAGCCAAGTTTCGATCTAAACTAATACCACTCGGAATACGCAACAACTAAGTCAGTACTAACCTACAACTAGAGAGCCCAACCTCATGCACCCATAAAAACAATTTACGTCTTCATAGCAGAGTTCTCAGTTTCCGGCGATTGATTAGAAATTAAAAAAAATTAATGAAAATTTTATGGCACGGATAATCCGCAGTCTGGATAATCCGCGCACGGATAATTGGGGTTCTACTGTAGTATCTAAATATAGTAGCAATAATTTTGGTTTCCCCATACTGCTCACGAAACATCCCAGATCATGCACAAAATAACACAAGTTGTGGGATTTACCTCGCCAAATCCTCGGGTATCAGTTTTTGTCATGAACTCTCCTCGGTATCATTTATCCACTCTAAAGGAAAAAATAATTCAACATGGAAGCTATGTGAATCCAGGGAAACACTTCCAATTCGTTCCATAATGTGTGTTGAATCTTTAACGTCAATATTTAAGGTGTCCACTTGGCTTTGGTCACTAACACATCACATCGAGGAATAAAATGCCAATATTGGCATTCCAAACATCAAACAATGGTTTGATTCTGGGCATAACCCAAAACTTTTTACTTTTATTTACCAATTTATACAGGATGACAAAGTCAAGAAAAAAATTAATTCCCCAATATTATATAGGAAAGAAACATACTGAAATAAAATATCCAATCTTTTTTGGTGATAATCCTTTATTTTCACCCAAATTATGTCATTGGGTTAATACATTAGTGTTTGATAATATTGAATGACTACGTTTAAATAAGTATACAAATTCTATTCTTTCATCCTGTATCAGTCGTATCACATACTTTATACTTAAAGTCTAAAATCTTAGACTTTGTTGTGATCCTTGAACTGCATAATGAAATCGATTACGATTTATATCGCGAATCATTAGATCTCATCGATCGCAGTGCAAAAAGTCGATGCGATAAATAACGCTTGATAATTGTAGATAATTTATTTCTAATTTTCCGATAATTTTTATTTTTAGCTCTTGTATTTGAATTAACAACAAATGGTCGATAATAAACTAGCGTGTATATCGTTACAACTAGGAATTTTGAGATTGAGGGGAGGTAAAGTGGGGGTCCGGGTTTCATTATTAGCGTGAAATTATGGAAAATAGGAACAAATAGACGTAAGTGCTCGGACGAAGCAGCGTTCTATGGCCGCGCTGTTATTTTATCGATACACCGTGGACAATAATACGGCCAATTATTGTCACGAACCACTATTTACTTACACCACCGCCAATACACCGTCCTCGTTATCTCGTCCTTGAAGCAACCACGTCTAACGGCATCCTTTGACAATATCTCAAGAAACTCCTATAACAATGTTGGCCTAACACATTTTTTTCTAATATCATAATCAAAAATTAAGATAGTTTTTTTTGTGGACTGTGAGTATATTAAACGGTGGCGTGAAGTTGAAGTAGCGTGGGTAAACGGTTCGCACGTAAAGCATCGTAAAAGAATTTATAGCAACGTTAAGTTTCTATTTTACAACACTTAGGGACTATAACGCACACACACGGGGTAAAGGAATGAGAGGCGAATATCTATATTTATGCCTTTCATAAACCGCGAACGCCTAAATTGTTTCGCCTCGTCCTCTGCCTCAACGGGTTTCCGAAAGTGGAAGCTTAGCGCTAATTGCTTACGGCCGCAACGGTCGTTTTACATGTTAATAAACCTTATTACTTTACGGCGACTGGTAGTGCATAAAACGGGTAGATTAACGCGACGCCTTAAAACCGTCACCGAACCAACGTTCCATAGTATAATCGAAAATAAGAAGGGAGGAAAAGGAAAATGTTAGGATAATGGATTAGAAAAGAGGTTTGTTTTTTGGGTGCGTGTCCGAAACTTTGAAGGGGGCAAAAGGGGAAAATGGCGAAAATGGGGGTTGAGAAGGCGGGCGAGCGACTAAAAGGGAAGGTACGTAACTGCAGGTTAGGGCCCCGGTGGGACTGCTCGTAAAACACATCTTGTGACAAACAACCGTGGCGCGTTGGTTCGTGTAGGACCCTCTCGCCCTGTATTCTTGCATATCCCGGACCTATTTAGCTTTCGCCGGACGTGTGCGGGGGAAAAAACGGCCGACGTGTCCCGGTATACGAGCCGGGGAAGTTAAAGTATTAAAGAATGCGCCTACGAAATTGCTCTGTATCCCTCGACGCTGGGCGCGGCAAAAATTCGACCCTAATGTTGCGGGTCTTCTCTTGAGAGAAAGACAAAAAAAGCTTCGTCTCAGAATATGGTGAATTTCTTGGATTTAACATGGAAATTGGATTTTTATCGACTACTTTTCCTTGTTTAATATTCTACGGCCATCATCAAACGTTGCAGCAACTTATAACGAACACACACTTTAAAGAACCTGCTTAACCAAATATAGTCAGATTATTAATATCCATTAATATAACAGCACGTGCCCTAATGGAACGCAATAAAAAATATATAAATTTATTCCATTCCGCATAATATAATAAACGGTGCGAATTTTTGAAACAATTAGCGAGACAACCCGCGGTCATGGCATTAATATTAATTGTCTCGGGCGAACGAAATTTTTACAAACCTGTTTCTTATCAATTGTGCTAAGGTACTCGTCTGCTTTTTGCTTCTCGTATAGCGCTCGTGCGAGCGAACCTCGCGGTCTGAACAGGCTCGAAACAGGTGTTTCTCCGTCCGTTCCTCCCGTACAATACTCCACCGGACTGTTATCTGCCACGTTTCCATCGCACTGACCGATATCGTTCATTCTACCTTTTAATTCCAGCTTGTATAAACAAGAAATCACTCGATACTCGATCAAACACACCAAATTTAATCGTTTAGAAACTAAAATCTAGGGCCCCAAAGTGACAACAACACTTTTGACAAATCAACAATTGAGGTTATGTTACGAGTTAAATCGATCCAAAAGAAGTAGACTTTTTAAACTGTAAATAGCAAAGATATCGTATGGAAATATTCTAATAAGCCGATATTATCTCGATTAGATAGGTTTAAGCACAATTTATATGTTGTTTATGTTCCTGCTCTGACAGGTCATAAACATTATCACGTGACTATAGGTTGGTTTCTTCGCTTAGCGTTTGAGCTCAGCTCCATCTATTAGCAGGACGGTAAAACGCGCATTTACATCTTGTCGATTTGAATAAAATTTTCCTCGTAAATTATTTTCAAACTAAAACCGTCGTCCATTTGTGATATTAATTAATCATCGTGTATAAATAATTTATTGTAATTGTATAAAATAAAACATTCACAACGTGAAGTAAATTATAAAGGAGAATGTAATTTAGATTTATGAATATGCGATTTGAATTAGCGTAATTTTCCCTTATATCCACCGGAGAAACGCAATGGAAAATTGATTAATACATAATTTTATATCGAAGAAAATTACTTTGTGGTTATATCCTTGTGGATAATTACAGTTTTGCCCAGTGAAAGTTTATTAGTAATGGTAATTTCGTGTGTCCTAAATTGCAAATTAGTACCACCTTAAGCGTTATCATCTGATTGTACAATTAGAATGTACTCAATGTTCCCAATGGTTAATAATAATTATTGATGGTTTCTAAAATGTGTAAAAGAAAATTTTGAAATTACAAAGCAGGTGGTAAACATTAGTCTTCTTAATTGAATTTCTCTCACCTTTAATAACCTAGATTCAAACTACCAGAAAAAAATACTTACTATTATTAAAAAAGAATAAATAAAACTGTCTATAGCCCTGTGTTACTTCAAGGTAACATTTAAAATAACTTTTAGTTTTTCCAATCGCTTTATAGACGTTCTATAATTAGGTTGTAGAGTATTTTTAAAGTTTTGTGATTGTATTTAACACTTCGCTTATTTTTGGTACAAGATAGATTACGAACATTGTTAGATAAGTATATTCATTAATATTTTAAATTGTTAGACCATCTTTAATGGGCGAATAATTATTTAACAGAGTATACTTAATTAAATGTTGAAGTACATAAAGATATTAGAAATAGGAAAGCAGTCTGAACGTATGTTGTCCTGACTCCTTGGTCCAACATGTTTGTTGGCCGAAAACTTAGAACGAGCAATGAACACATCGCGGCATCACTATGGCAGATGATCATATAGAACCAGTCTAGCGGTCTACAATTACTTTGTTTGGAGTTACTTTGTTGCTTATACTAGGACTTTTTTAATTACTTATGCAAAATATTCGCAAATAAAGATATGTGTTCAGAAGTTTGTACTGATCATGTGCTTCATCTCTGTATCACCTTCTTGGTAAGAACGAATTGTCAATCGGAAAGATTTTCTATTTTCTTACACCATAGGCATAAACAGTATTGCTAAAGAGTTTGGCAGTGTATTGAAGTTTTCTTAATTGCAGAAATGGTTTAGAGAGAAATAACGCAAAACCTAGTAGCTGGATATTGGATATCTCAGACAAGTGCTCTACATTGATATGTCATTTTTAAAGGTGCAATAAGTTCTATTTTACTCTGTTTTAGAAAACTGCTTTTATTACAAGATTTTACAACTATTACCACTTTTGTTCAGAATATATAAATAAAATCCTATTGGGAACATCTATTTCCAGTTTGAAATAACTCCTAAACGCACAATATATCCGGTTATCCGGCATATCTATCCGGCCATTATGGTTATAATTTCTGGTGCATATCTGAAGTGATACCCTATATTGCCACATTATTGCGATATTTGAATAAAAATGAAATTAATTAGAAAGCTGATAAGATATGTTAACTTATTTGGATCCAAGATACAAAATGAACTTTTTTGATACTGGCGATTAATAATTGGCGATATTTCCACAATAATCCTTCAAGAAATGAATTTTAGAGCGAATTTTGAAAGTTATCGATGAAAATTGCAAGATCGAAAATTTTATCAAAACTTCAAGTATTGTTTTCTCAAAAACTAATAGTTATTTTTCAAAACGGGTTGGATCATTGGAAAGAGGACACTTTTATTAACATTTTAATAAATTTTCATACTTCATATTGCAAGAAATGGATTTTATATGAATTTTTAAAACTTAACCGGCGAAAATTGCAAAATTCAAAAAAATCATCGATCATTTCAAAAATTTATTTCTCAAGAATTAAAAGTGATTTATCAAAACGGCTTTTTGCATTAAAAAGAGGATACTTTAATTAATAATTGGTGATATTTCCACAAGGATCCTTCAAGAAATGGATTTTATACGAATTTTTAAAACTTAATCGGCGAAAATTGCAAAATTGGAAAAAATTGTCGATTATTTCAAAAATTTATTTCTCAAGAACTAAAAGTGATTTTTCAAAATGGCTTTCTGAATTAAAAAGAGGATACTTTAATTAATAATTGGTGATATTTCCACAAGTATCCATTAAGAAATGAATATTATAGCGAATTTTGAAAGTTATCGATGAAAATTGCAACATAGAAAATGTTATCAAAACTTCAAATATTGTTTTCTCAAAAACTAAAAGTTATTTTTCAAAACGGGTTGATTCATTGGAAAGAGTACACTTTTGTTAACACTTTGGGAAATTTTTATACTCATATTCTAAGAAATGAATTTGAAAATTGCAAAATTCGAAAAAATTGTTGATCATTTCAAAAATTTATTTTTCAAAAACTAAAAGCGATTTTTCAAAACAGCTTGTTGCATTATAAAGAGGATATTCTAATTAATAATTGGTGATATTTGCACAAGGATCCTTCAAGAAATAAATATTATAACGAATTTTGAAAGCTATCTGTGAAAATTGTAAGATCGATAATTTTTTCAAAACTTCAAATAGTGTTTTCTCAAAAACTAAAAGTTATTTTTCAAAACGTGTTGGTTCATTGGAAAGAGGAGACTTTTATTAACATTTTGGGAAATTTTCATACTCATATTCCAAGAACTAGATTTTATACGAATTTTTAAAACTTAATCGGTGAAAATTGCAAAATTCAAAAAAATTGTCGATCATTTCAAAAATGTATTTCTTAAGAACTAAAAGTGATTTGTCAAAACGGCTTTTTGCATTAAAAAGAGGATACTTTAATTAATAATTGAAAGTGATATCAGCGACAGTTCTGTTAGTAATGAATGTGATGACGAATTACAAGCGAAGAGAAGAAAACTAGACGAAACTGCAACAAGAGATTTTATATATCGTATTAAGTTTGTTACAATGAAGGTTGCTAATGACAAACCTGATATAAATAAAGTTGTATTGAATGAAAAAAGTCCTATTGGTGTTGAACTTGATTATTATCGGCACTGTCCAACACCTAAAACAGTGTTCACATGTTCATTAATCTTCTTCATTTATTTCTTTATCAACTTGCAATATCCCATTCAGTAAAATCGTTGAAGCCTTCTCCACCAAATTATACTAACTAAAGTTGGCCAAATTTTTTTCAACAGTCATTGGGTGTCCATTGCCAAATCATGATATATGATAAAAGCAATATGTTTTCCGATCATTAATAACTGTTAAAAAGCCTGATCTATGTCTGTAATAATGAAGTCGTATTATTTTGTAAAGGCGCTTTATCACTAAAAAGTCTATATCGTATCGATATCGATTTCACTTCAATTGATATCTATTCAAGATTTAATACTTTCTTTTACAGATGTATTTATAACTTTAGCAACATTCCTGGTTTTATCGATGAACCAACAACTTAGCAGGTCGGGAGGAGATTCTCTTTATTTTTTGAAACGGTTCCCGAGATCCTTTCCACCCATGAATACCTGCACTATGACGGATGCGCTGGAGAGTACCCACATTAGGAGAGGAAATGCGATAAGACTATTATTAAATTCATTACACGCTCCAACAACTGAGCAACCTGCTATTTCCAATACGCATCTTCAGTATTTAACCCATTAATGATTTTGCTTGTCACTTGGGATACAACTCAAAGACCACATCCATATATCCTTAGCCGAAAATCGACTGATTGTGACAGAAAGGAGAACTGAAGAAGTCTATTATCTGCAAACATGATCGAACTATCAATTTACACAAACATTTATAGAACATGGAAATACCTCCCTTACTCTAGAAGATAAAATGATAGTGCGAAGATCGTGTAAGTCAAATTGTATTTAATATATGCTCTAAATCCGTTTTTCTTTTGGACCACTGTCGTCTTTTTTAAACCAACAAGGTATAATAAAGATATATTCATTTAATAAAATACATTTGTCAAATGTTTGTTAGTATTAAGCTAGAAGCTTCACATCAGAAGATTCACATCAACTTATTTTTGCAAGTTATTAAATTAATTATCTACAATATCAAAAAATATTCTACAAATAACAAATGATTTCATTCTTTTTGCTGCTTTATGACTGCTAGCAAATTTATAAATTTTAGACACGTAGGTCTTCTCTGGCATTTTTACCAAAGTAATCCTGACTCATCAACATTGAAACACGAATATATGAAAAGTTGGCAACAGCTTTAGCTAATTTTGTTAGATAGTTTTGTGCTGCATTTACAACACCAGATACCAGTTCATCTTTAATTTTAAATTATGTTAACATTGTCGTGATCTTTATTTATAATAGCGTTGGCATAATTGGTTCTTATTGTAGTTTCATTCATAGTACATAATCTAGCAACATCTATTCTTCCTAATTTTTAATTTCGTTTGCCATAATTAGCTTACAAATGTTACTCAAGATATAAAATATACAATTATTTTTAATTGTTTGCAATCGTTTGTTACTTATGAATATACAATTTTTCAGTTTTTTGATTAAAAACGATGTTCGTACGAAACCAGAGTCCATCTTCAAACCTCTTTTTAGTACCTCACTTTTTTCAAGAACCTTTCATGTACTTTTGAACTCTTCATTTGAAAGTGTTTTTCTTGGTGCTTCCAATTATGGTGAATGTTGTGGTGAAATGTATGTTGGATTAGACTTCAAAGATTTTTCCTTTATTATTCGGAATTAATCGGTGTGTCTGACCATTCAAAATTTAAGTATAATGAATGGAATTGCTAATGTTTTTTCTAACTTGACTACATTGTTCTGCTTTATCATTTGCAAGCTGATATGTTGATTCTGGTCTTTTTTTGG